CTGTACCGTGGAGAACGACTGGTGGTTCCTCAGTCTCTACAAGCAAGAATCGTCTCACTCGCTCATGAGCAGCATCAGGGCATGGTGCGTTCGAAGCGACTCATCCGGCAGACCTACTGGTGGCCTGGTCTGGACGCGCAAGTCGAAGAAGCGGTTCGACAGTGTCCTGTCTGCCAAGAGAACGAGAAGACGCTGAAGTGCACTCCTACCCCGCTTCAGCCGGTCGAGTTCCCTCCAGGCCCATGGTATAAAGCTGGAGTAGACATTGTAGGACCACTGCCAGGCCCGCGTCAGTGTCGCTACGCCATTGTGCTAATGGACTATCATAGCAAGTGGCCGGAGGTGGGATTCACAGAAGATATAACCTCCGCAGGAGTCATCTCCTTCCTGAACTCGGTATTCGCCAGGGAAGGGTATAGTCGGTCAAATATGTATCTTTCCCGGCCGGCCCTCACCTCGCTGGGCAGGTCGGTAACTTGGCTGAATCCGCCGGCCGCTGCGAGTACTACGGAGGGGAGGGGACAGGTTGTGCGGTTGCCGCGTCGGCCAATGAGCGCGGACCTGGCGAGCGGGCTGGGGCCACGGCGTGTTGACCTAATATGGTCAAAGGTTCATGCCCTGCGGGTATGGTCTGCGGCCAGCTGGCCCACTGATTGAGCCACAGCACCGGGTCGCGGAAAGGTTTCGATAGGTATCTGAATTGGAGAGTGGAGACCGTTAGCTTGAACTTGAGTGTAGTCGCTCTAGGTTTGAGATGCCGGGACCAGGGACCTGCAACACCATGATCCTGAATATATTGTGTGGATCGGGTGGCATTCAGATGAAGTTGAAATTTATCCCATTGACTTATAATGGGGAGGTTGTGAGATTGACCTGACCTCAGGTCATAGATAAAAAAATCCGAGACATACATTTTGTGGATATTGTCACCCTTACTAACTCCTGAAAGTTTCATATCGATCGGTCAACAGTAGTAGCTTTGGTGCAAGTTCAAACTTTTTGTGACGTTAGGTCACTCAACCCGACCTGTTGACCTGACCTTAAGTCATATAAGGTCAAAATTCGCACACAGTATGCGCAATAGATGGAAAAACAGGTATGCAAAATTTGGTGGCGCTGCACGCCGCCGTTTTTCGGCTATCTGCGAAAAACCTGGGGGGGGCGCTAATCGCCCCCCCCCCCGGCCCGGCGTAGGTTAAGATTTTCAGTAGATATGGCTTAACGCTTTCCCGTTAATGCCAAAAGAAAATGAAAAAAGTTTTTGCTTTATCAAAAAATAACCGGTCATAATTCGATTAAATATTTCTCTTGCGCTAATCATCATATCACCAAGCATTCGATCGTATCAAGAGCAACCATCTTAATTTTTAGGTCAGCGACCCCTGTTGAAACACCAGATAATCCTTTGATAGCTCATAGCACTCAGTCTACAATTTACACGGCGCATGAAAGCACAGCCATCATTAGACCATCGCGCTGCCCTCACATTCGTTAGATTCCTAACGCATCCGCTTGCTCGCCTCTCCCGGCCAGACCCGCCGGAGCACCCGGCGGCGAGGCCGTCCAGTGCTGGTCTGCGGTCACTCTCCAGCCGGCCGCTGTGTAGCTCCGCCCCCCGCGCGTGACGTCACAGGGCCGCCAGAGCCGCCAGGGCAGCTGGGGTGTGGGCTCAGCCAACTACCGAATCCAGACCGTAGCGCCACTTGGCGGCCGGGAAAGATACATATTTGACCGACTATACGTCCGGGAGCTCGTCACGGATAACGGCACCCAGTTTGTATCCGCTGAGTTCGAGGACTACTTGAAAAACAAGGGGATTCGACACCTGCGAAGCTCCAACTATCATCCTCAGGCCAACGGAGAAGTTGAGAGGTTTAATCAAGTGCTGAAAAGCACTCTGCGGTCAGCGAAGTTGGTGAACAAGCCGTGGAAGGAAGCTGTCACAGAATTCCTACTACAGTACAGAGCTACGCCACACACGGCGACTAGAGTGTCTCCGTCGCAGTTGCTTCACGGAAGACTGATGGTCACCAAGCTGAATGCACTGCCGCCAAGACATACAACAGTAGAGGACTCGGACGTACGTACAAGGGTCCAAAGGGCCCAGGAGAAAATGAAGATCTACACAGATGGACGTCGTCGTAGTCGTCCGGCAAGGATCACTGTCGGCGATTGGGTGAGAGCTCGTCGAGTCGGTGGCTGGCACGGTCCACTGCAGGTGCTGAAACAGCGTGGGAAGTGGACATTCCTGCTGTCTGATGGGAAGGTGTGGAACGCGTCACGCCTCTGTCGAGCTGCTGAACCGCTGGACATCGCTGTCCCGCCACTCGAGCCGTCACTACCTGCGCCGGAACCTGAACGAGCTGTGTCGGAGCGTCAGTCGGAGGTCCCGGCTGCGGAGCCACAGCCGCCACGCAGCTCTCCGCGTCGGACCGATCCTCAGGTGTCAGTGTCGCAGGCCCCAGGTCGCAGGCTTAGGTCTGCTGACGAACGCCGCCCGCCGGCACATTTTCGTGATTATGTTAGGCATGACTGAAGCATTGTATTATGTACTCGTTACGTTATGAGAGGGGGAACTATGTTGTGTCCGGTGATGCATTATGGGCAGTGTCCGGTGATGCATTATGGGTAGTGTCCGGTGATGCATTATGGGTAGTGTCCGGTGATGCATTGTGGGTAGTGTGGAAAAGTGAAGGCCGAACCTTGGATGAGTGTGCCACGTGTTGGATTGGGAATAAAGCAAGTGGAAGCGGAGATTGATTGTACGGAAAGGGAAGCCGAAGCCGACGATACAACAATGAGTTAAAATGCACACATAAAACACATGAAAATTTAAAGCACATATCCAGTATGCATAGTACAAACCCATTGGCTGTATGCAGCATGCTGATTGACTGACGACGTCATGGCTGTAATCCTCAGCAATGCAGACATTCCTCAGTCCTCTGCAACTTTGACTTTGACTTGTAAGGCACTCTTCTCGGAACAAGAAATGGAATATATCTTTGTCTAGGGTGATCGTTGGGCCGTAAAACCTTCTGATTTGTGTCTCATCTCAAGCTACCTACAAAACTGCTAGTCCAGTTAAAACCCCCATGTTAAAAGTGCACTATTTCCTTTAATGTGATGTCATAATTTGACTTGAAGAGTTAGTAAATCACAACTTACCTCAACCTCTGTGTGATCAAGCAGCCGATGAGGATTGGTTAACTTTCAAAAGGCTACGTACTTCTCAATATACCCTGACCTAACCCTAGCCTGCTTCAGCACGGGCAAAAATTAATCAGAAAACAACGCACTTATTATTTTAGGGAGAGAGCAGCGCGAGCGCCATTAGCAGCGCCACTCATCGAAGCAGCTGCGCCAAATAGGCTTATCATAAATTTCCCTTCAAAACTTTTTGATGACGTCACAAATTCATCAGAAAAAGCAATGGGCTGCTCTCCTAGCGAATGCAGAATGAATCACAGCGAAATGCAATTAGTCGAATAAATAGGAATGACTACGTCATCAAGATAAGATTTATCTTTTAAAGTGTTTTGAGCTTATTGTCAGGTCGATCGCGCGCGCGCCAAGCCGTGTCGCACGTGTCGCAAGGGGAGAGCGGGGTCTGTGGGAGCGGATAAAATCAAAATTTTTGTTGGGGATGCCGATGCCGGAATTGGAAACTGTGGTGGCCCGTAAGCAGAAATACCGAAATACCTACCTACCTAGTACCTACCTACGAAAATCCAATTATTCTGCGGACTAAGCTCGTGAATTCTCACGCTGAAAGTTACAAAGAAAAGAACCTTCAAGGTCACGTCACACTAACCAGGACCGTTTTGATTTACTTACTTATTAGTAAGTAAGTAAGGTCACGTCACACTAACCAGGACCGTTTTGATTTGTTGAAATTTAAGATTGGGATGTCTTAAAACCCCAATAAAACCCCATTTGAATGACTCCTTTTGAAAACCCCTTAAAACCATAAAGAAAGAATGGAGTTAAAGCGCCTGAATCACTTTGCACGTGTTTTGATCACTTGAAATGTATGGTTTTGAAAATTTGTGTGAAAAGTTGTTAGAGAAAATATACTCTCACAATATTAATTCACATTTCACATGCATCAACGGCCACATCACTTAAAATCCATTCTTTCTTTTATTTACCAGACTATAGTTAGGGGCCTCTGGGTTCTTCACTGTGAAAGATATCACTCTTTGATATATTTTTATTCTGGGTAAAAGACATTTAATCTATTATTGAAATTAAGGCAATGGGAAGTGGGAACCCAGCACGCCTTCTGCGTGCTAGGCCCCCTGAGTTATCCCTGGAGCTAAGGGGTCCCCTTGCACATTTGGTGCTCACTGCTCAGGACTCAGGAGTGGCCATGGCCCCCGTGGCCCTCCCTTGGATACGTCGCTGATCGCCAATGCATTCTGAGCAACTGCGAAAAAAGCGATTGCACCCGCTACCCACGCCGGCTGTTTGGACTGAGTCTCCAGCCGAACGTCATTTGCCAGCAGGTGGGGGGGGGGGGAGGGGAGGAGGACGTTGAACGTCTTCCCATCCCCCAATTATCTTCGTAACTATGCGTTTGCTTACAGTGAGACGCGGCGAGGCGGTGTTGGAAAGGTTTCACCGAGACGCGCCATCTGAAACCTCTGAAACAATCCTAAAATTTCGAATCTGAGGCCACGTGACTGGTCAGGGTTATGTCAACGGTCAAAATTGAGCATACTCACGTGTAGGGCTCTAGCGAACGCATTGTCGAGCCCAGTTTTGTATGTACCTTTGTATGTATGTATGTATGGATGTAGGTATGTATTTACGATCGTGGGCGATCCACACATGGCGTGGCGATTACTGCCCCGGCTTACTTACGAACAAAAGGGTAGGTACTGAAACTATTCCGAAAGTTTTGAACTCGTACAAAGTATTTATTTAGGTCAAAGTGTTGGGAAAACAGTCATTTGGCGTCATTTTTGGGTTAAACTTAGCATTTACTGTCTTTTCAGATATCGATATTTAGGGAAATGAAACAACTCAGAATGGCACCAAATTACAAGAGGAAATCAGAGGTAAGTAAGGGCACCAGCACCGGCGTTCCGCCATACTCCGTACTCCGTAGCCTGTCCGACTGTGGTGGGCAGCATGCCTTCTTGCTTCCGCCTTCATGGTATGTCATAGGGTGGCGTTTTAAGCTGCATCCAACGGGAATGTGCTGTGCTTGTTTTGGTTGCAATCATATATTATCCAGCCCCTCATAAAATGTAATGATGTCATTGCAATCACTGCTCAGTGCTAATGGAATCTCACTGTTTCAGGAAGGAGGGTCAGGGGAACGCCAGTCAAAGAAGGCCGCGACTGAGTCGGCGAAGGAGGCGTTTGTGAGTGACGCAAAGGACTCTACGGGAACCGCTTGGAATTTTAAAATAGCGTCTTGGAATGTGGCTGGCTTGCGAGCCTGCGCGAAGGTACGTAGGTATCAGCGAATGGATTGTGTTGCTGTTATACGAATATAGGTACTTTGAATGGCAGAGAACTAGCCTGCGCAAATGTATAGTTCTCTGAAAACAAATGGTGTCTTTTCTACTGCAGTCTATCTTGTCGTTTTTTTATGGTTTTCTTTTTTTTTCAGAAAGATGGGTTCAAATATATCGTCAAGGAGGATCCCGACATTATGTGCCTCCAAGAAACTAAATGTACTAAAGCCAAGCTACCCATCGAAGCAGAGCTCAAGGACTATCACCCTTACTGGCTATCAGGTAAAGCGATGCTGTTTTGTGACAGAGAAGCCCTGTCTTTCTGGCACCATACTGTTATGTGGTAACGTTCGACGGTCTCTGTTGTTTTAAAACTGTATATAGCTTCAAATTACCGTGCGCTTCTTTCAGGAAAAGACGAAGGATACTGCGGTGTGGGTCTGTATAGCAAGAAGAAGCCGCTCAATGTCACATACGGAATCGGAGACAAAACACAGGACGAGGAAGCCAGACTGATCACCGCGGAATATGACAACTTCTATCTCGTAACATCATGTGAGTCTCTATTGTAAAATTGCGCTTTTCATAAACATACTCATCAACTTCACCTCTTTTCCTTCAGTTTGGAATAGTTTTAGCTCAATTTGAAGAAGATTCACTTCAATTGGAATAAGACGTAATTTAAGTGAATGACATCTCTTTCAAAATGAAGTGCATCTTTTCAAAATGAACTCAAAGTTTTCAAACTAAAGGAAAAAGGGTGTAGTTTTCCGGCTGAATAAGCTTCCATTTCTGTTTCTTTTCTCGTGTGCGCATGAAGTGGGGCTCATGATAGGTACGGGATAATTTTTTCCTTTCTTTGGTGTGCTGCGGTGTTACGGACTTTCGTCCCCAATACGCACGTTTATGCTCAATTTTATGCATAGGACTCGCGCAAATTTGGCCCGTCAGTCGCCAGACCTTGAATGAACAATGACAACAAGTACTATTTGCCAGACGTTCCAAACTCCGGGAGAAAACTGGTGACCCTCCCCAAACGGATGGCATGGGACAAGCTTCTAAAAGAGCATCTCCAGAAGCTGGATGAAAAGAAGCCTGTTATCTACTGCGGGGATCTCAACGTCTCCCACAAAGAAATCGGTATGTGCTCTTATTGGCTATCCCTGCGATAATATTTCATGTAAACCTCAACATATTTACTGGCAATTGCTTGCTTTCAATGACCAAGCTTCATGATTGACGATGTCTGTATTAATATTTTATCCTGAAGTGATCTTATTTCAGACTTGAAGAACCCAGCGACCAACAAGAAGAACGCTGGTTTTACGCAGGAGGAGCGCGACGGCTTCACGGACCTTCTTACTGCTGGCCAGGATGGTCTGGTCGACACATTCCGACACTTCTACCCGGACAAAAAGGATGCATACACCTTCTGGACATTCATGGGAAACGCTAGGGCGAAAGACGTTGGATGGTACGTATCTAATGCTCCCTTGTTGCGTATATGCGCAAGAACATTGACTGATTCGAACTTCATTCGTTCGTTTCATGAATGGATGTTATTCCTTTCGAGGTTACGGCCTGATATTTCAAATAGATAACACTGCGTTGTTTGATAAAACATTTGCCGTTTTTATAATTGCTTTGCTGGGAAGTTAACTGCATAGGTACTTTGTGACTATTGACTGATATTAGTTCGTGGTTGAATTATAAGTGCATTGAATCGAGTAGTGCCCTGGAATCGAGACACGTCTTCCTTCACACGTGCCACACTTTGCACTTTGCAGGCGTCTGGACTACTTTGTCGTCTCGAAGCGCCTGATGCCTCGAGTGTGCGACTCTCTGATACGGAAGGAGGTGATGGGCAGTGACCACTGCCCGATCGTGCTGCTCATGAACACTGAGGGCATGTGAACCGACCGGGGCCGACAGGCCTGGCGTCTGGCAAATGTGCATCAGCTGCCGGCACGCACAGCTTGCGGAGGTTGGCTGATGCGCGAGCTGAACAGCGAATTTCGCTACGTCTGTCACGCCGCCATCATTGATGGCTCCATTCCGACTTCAGTTAATTAAGCGAAAGTGATACTCCTCTGTTGTGCTTTGAAATCGTAGTGATATTTTGCGAAGCCTTGTGTCATGCAAAGTGTTAGCTGTGAGGTGCGGAGTGCGGGCGTAACGTTGGTACCTGGTTTTGAATATGCTGTTTTTTTATTGCCAGTGTGAGTTTCATGTCAAGTGTAGTGGTCGCTTGTGCCATAGAACGGAAAGCTGGCTAGATGCAAGGTAGCATAGGGACGTCTCTCTAAGCGCTGCCGGCTGCCGCCACGACACACTTTGTGCTGTTTTACTACCTACAATACCCAATAGATCTTACTCTCCTCGTACAGGTAGACAAAACATTCAGCAGTTACGTTTGGCCAACTCTTTACAGACTCCGCCTGCGGGCATCCGGATGAGCTCCTGGATAAGTGGCAGAAACTGGTTCCGGTAAGCAAATGCCGCAAATATCTTACGAGATGATGGTACGTAGACGAACACGAACGAGACGAATAGTTGCTACGCGTGTTCATAAGACAATTAATCACTGCATGTCAAGCAAGGAAGAGGGACACCGGGCGCATCAGGGGCATCATAGCTGGCGTGCAGTAAGTCACATTCAACGAACAGCGCAAATGGTTATTGCAGCTCTGTGTAGCTTAGCCACAGCATCGCTGAGGTCTGCGTGACGCTGCCATTTGGTCCAGTTCGTGATTGCAACGGTCGCCAAGTTATTCGGATACTGGGACTGGATGGAGGCGGTTCACAGCTCTATCGTCTCTCCTACCGACCCCATCAGCTCCACGCACTCCCCAGGGTGACGTCCCCATCGTCTCGTCGTCTTGCTTCAATCATCGGAGTCAGTTATGCAAGACGCCGTGCCATTACGAGACATGATTTGGAGGTGAGTGACGGCGAAAAGTAAGATGTTATGCGATGCTTCTTTTATGTTTTGGCTAATTCTAGTATCAATGACGCTTTGCACACTCACTGTTTTTACTCGTCTGCATTGTTAGCGCGTTCTGATCTCTCACCGTGCCTCTGCACGTCACAGGTCGTGTGTTGGACAGTTTACCTGCGTTTGCGTGTGGTCGGTTGCTCGGTGGTGGTGCGCCGCCCGCCCCGGGGACCGGGTGCGCCCGCCCGGGGGCCGTCAGACAGGGACCGACTGTCGGCCCGAGCGGCGCGCCCCACACCGGCCGACGGACGGAGAGAGATGCAGGGGGCGCCGGGGCCGCTGCTGCTGCCGCTGCTCGTCCTGCTGCTCGCGCTGCTGGTGGCAGGTGGGTGGCCAGCCGCAGCGCCGGCGACAGCGGTCTTCTGCACGTCCCCTGTCGGTCACTTGACTTTGTATTATCATCATCTCATTTTATCTTGACATAGGTAATCCCGTCCCCCATCTCACTTCATAACATTATGACTTAGTCATTCTAGAGCTGAATAGTCGCCAATAGTTCACATTTTTTTTTTGCGTTGATGAACTTCCGGTACGTTTATTTTTTATCTCAGTTCCGAAGGTATCGTCCTTGACCTCAATGCACATTGCACATCGCATGGTGTACGCGAGTGCTATATTACGGAGAAATATTGTATGTGTGTGTGTGAGGTGAGCCTAGGTCCACGGAGGTAATCTGCCGTAAGCAACTTTGACTGCTTCGTCTTAAACCGTACATCCGTTTGAAAAAAAAACGTTTTTCTCTGTTGGACAGTCTCCTCGAATCCTTGCTGCTCTTATGTTGACTGCTCTTGAATGATTCATAGTCTTATGCTACTTGGCAACTTATGTGGCTTGTGTCATGTGCAAAACCAGGGGCATCAAAGCGGTTCCGCTTGGTATAACAATGTATTTATAAGGTCAGTCACACTGAAATTTGACTTACCGGCGGGCACCCACCGGGTCCTTGCTCTGGGGAAGGGGAGGGGGAGAGGGGGTACGTTCAACGTTCCGAGAGTGGTGTGCCACTGCCAGAGCTCACAATTGCACTCTTTCGTTCCTCGTCCGTAGTTCGTCTGACTGGGTAGTGGGTATTGTTTCGATTTCCTATTTTCGCGGTCTTTGTAATTCTAATTCCTGTTAGGGTCGGAATTACAAACTCAGGGCGGGACCCTTTCTTCATACTCCTCTACAACAAAGCTATTCAGCGAAAGCAATTTATAACATCTGGGAAGAAAACATTCGTTAGCTCTTCTAAGCCTATTTTCCAAGATATTAACTTTAAATGAAGTATTCCCGTTTAGGGAGCACGAAATATTAGATCACCTACGCTACGTCCCCATGGACCAGGACCTCCGTAGGCCATGCCTTGCGATGGCTCCATCATACAGCCTTGGCTTCATCAGAGATCCTGGAGCGGTACGAGATTGCCTGCGGTCGAGACGCCGGTCAATATCGGCTTCACCCGAGATTAGGGTTGCTCCCCAGTCTGCCTTCATATCAATCGACAAACTAATGAAGCGCTCATCTAATATCAATTACCGTTTTCACGTCAGCTGATGGAATTCTGGGGAGCGCCCTGTCCTGGACGCTCCTGTCGGGACGAGCGCTTCCTGGACGTTCCTGTCGGAATTTGGTGTATTTGGAGCCGTTTAAACGAGCGATGCATTGCAATGCTTCAGGTTCAAGCAGGAGATTTCAGGCGGCTTGTGAGCCGCCTTCCTCCGATGATAAAAAGAGGAAACCTCAACCCATCCAGAAACCGAGGTCTTCAGCCCCTGTTGCCACTTCGTGGGCTATTTAACCGAAATAGACGTATATTGAAATAAAAGGTGATACACTCTCAGCAGGGCGCGGAAAACCGGAACCTTTGCCGGAACCCCGGAACACAGATTATGTTCACGCTAATTAATATTGATAGGGATAAGATTAGTACCTACTTAAACCGACTGAAAGGTTGAACGAGCTGCACTTAAATCTAAATGCCGTCGAGGCTTCAAAACCGTGTCACTACTCACTCCCTCGTATACTGTCGTCTGTACGCCACGGGCTGCTCCGTTAACCACCAAGCTTTCCCCTCACATCGCCAGGTGTGCGCGGTAAGAAGTGCGGCACCACCGACCTGCGCTGCAGCCAGATCTGTTCGGGCACCGGCAACGCGGCCACCTGCTCCTGCCTGCCCGGCTGGCGGCTCGAGGACGACAAACAAAAGTGCACCGGTGAGAGCTGCACAGGCGCATGGCCGCCCATCACGGACTTTCGTGTGAATGTTGTCACCAGGCGCTGGTCACCTTTTTGATGCTGCCAGAGATGGTGGGAATGTTTCTGTTTGCTTGTTTCTTTGTTTGTATTTCTTTCCAAACTGGCCAAAAAAACGCGAGCGAACACTTCGAATGTCGCTGGCCAGTGTCCCAAAATTGAGTTTTGTCTTGGGTGTCAGAGGGGAAAAGTACCCACCAAAAAGAGGGGAGAGAGTGGAAAACTGCTGATTCGATTAGATCAAAAAGGAGTGAGAAATGACAAAAAGCATGCATTTTATTCTAGGGTGTAGAATGTTAGATGCTAACTGGGCATCCACACAACTGTCTTTCTATAGGTAAAAAATCTATGTTTTCTTGGTTGGGACTTGGGAGTGGAAAATTGTTCTTAAAAATGGTGGTGAGAGTGGAAAATGAATTTCATTTGGATGTCGTTTCCCACCCAAATAGACAAATTTTGGGACATTGTCGCTGGCTTATCAAATGTTCATTACCACAAACCTAAAAAAGTTTCGTTGTCAAGCTATTCGATTTCAGTGTCTTAGCCATGATTCCCTACCCTTGGAGCTCATCAGACATTTTTTTTTTCTTTTGAAAAGCGAACTGTTCCTTCAGAGTCGCGTTTCCTCTGCCGCTGACGGCACTTTGTACCACGTTTCAGTCGCGACCACTGCGCTCTGCTATGAAGTGCGCTCCGACTTTTTCGTCCAGCACCCGGCCGAGGCAAGTCGCAACCAGTCCGAGCTCTCCTGTCAGGAGTTCTGCAGCAAGAGGAAGGCACACTACAGCGCCCTTGGACGGTATGCCCATTGCTCGGTCTGGAGACCTAACTGCGCTTGATAACGTAATGGGCTAATTCCGTTGTATCGTTGCTTCCTTTAGATCATGATTTGGTACCTCATGGGGAGTTGTTTTGATCAGTTTCAATGATTTGATCTTTGTTCCGTTGTGCAGGATGGGCTGTCGTTGCCTTGAGTTTTTCGAGGTGGTCGGCTCGCTGGGCGCGCTGACCTATCAGCCGGCTATGTGCGACGGCACCCACCCGATCGCCTGGTCCGTCAAATACCTGGCCGACCCGGCGGTGGCCGAGCACTTCAACAGTCCCGACCGCCGCCTGCCGGCCGACCTCTACAGCATCACGCACGATCTGGACAGCCTGCGCGGCGACTCGACCATGGGCCGCCGGCGCGAGATGATGCAGCACGGCCTGAGCCACCACCACGGTCACACGGGCGCCGGCGGCCGCACCGCCGGCCGGCCGCCGGTCGCCGCCCTCCTGGCCGCCACGCTGGGCACCCTGGCACTGACCGCCGTCCGGCTTTGAGACGCCCGACCGCGCAGCAGGGTTCTGACGGGATCCCGGCAACCCACCACCCGGGCAGAGTACGGGCGGGTCCAGCCTCCCGCCGGCCGCTGGCTGCTGACTGGGTCTGATAGGATTGGCCAGTTTGTGTGGCCGGGGATCTCCCCCAGTCGCTGTCCTCTTTTCCCCACTTCCGATGCTGTCGCCGCCGGCGCTGGATGGTGAACACGAGCTGGTGGCTTCTTTCTGTCCACCGGTGTGCGGAGCTTACTATCGATGTCGCTAAAAATGTCGAAAACAGTTGCTATTACGGTGTTGCGGGGATTGTGCAAGTGTTTTCACTTTTCTCCTTCCTTTCAACATCGTTGCTTTGTATTACAACAAGCTCAATGACGGCTTATGGGACCATTTTACTCGCTTCGCATAATTCTGTCCACTACTCCCCAAATTGCTGTGTTTCAAAGACATTGATGTTCCCCAAGATGCACCTTGATGTTATATTGATCGCATACGGCATATCCAGTCCTTACAACATCGGTCTTTAATAGTGTATTATTTGAAACGAACCCTTGCTCCTATACAAGTTTGTTTGAGCTCCCTTCCCCAGTTCCCCTTACCCGCCGCTCTTCCAATTTTTACCGCTCTCCCGGCCGAATCAGCCCAATGTTGTGTTGTTTTGACCGTGTGACTTTCAGAGAAGAAGCTACTCGTACATACCGATATATGTAGGTATAGGCTTTAGGGTAGCACTAGCAGTTGGAGCCTGGAGGCGAGTCAGTCTTGCGAACACACAGCCAGACTGCATCTATTTTATGTCTTCTAGCTGCCATAGATTACTGTATGTACCGTTTATTTATCATATATACATCCGCATAATTGTCGTAGTACCTATTTCAGCAATTGTATGCAGCTAATAAAAAGGATATACGGTCGATACGGTCATTGTTACTCGTGCCCGCTGAAGAATATTTATGGTGAAATCGAATAGGTATATTTGAATGGTCGATGTAATAAGCGTTTCAATGTAACGTGATAAATGTTGATACACGTACGCATTGTCATTCATTAATTTTCTAAAAGTTTTGTGTTTGGCACCATTGCAGAGAATTTGATGTGCTCAACCGAATTCTGTTATTTTTATTTGTCCTATCATTGGAGCTTATAAATACAGTCGATGTCCTATCGTATGTTTGCAGTATTCTACAGATCCTTAATCGAAATCAGAAAGGCTGAGAGCCGTTTGATGCCTCACCAGGTGGATAGATTAGGGGTGAAGCAGGAAAGCATTTAAACCCTGACCATAGGTGATACATCATACAGGCCATACTCGTAGGCGGCGGAACGGGGAGGGCACCTACGCACCGTGTCCCCCGTTGATTTTGGCATTTCAACATTAGCCCTATGGGCGTTGGATGGAAAGAATGGGACCAAAAGTCGTCAGTGCCCCCCCCCCCCCTTAATTGAAGGTGTTCCGCCGCTAATGATACAGGCATAGAAGTCGTAACACAACACTAGAAATTCTGGTGCATGGATTTTGCCGCTACCCAAGATTCTTACAGATTGAGATACGTAGTGTCGCCTGTCTTATGTCCTGCATAATTGACTACAGGTAGGACTGTTTGCTTGGAAACCTTCGAAAATTCTTTGTAAATGGTTCACGATAATTCCGTTTTTTATAGCTTTGGTTTGTTTTACCGGCTGTTGATGCAGAGGTTTTGCCGCAAAAAAGTGGCAGTGAAATACTCTTATTGCAATCGTCATGTAAACAAACCGGTGCTGACTGCTGAGACAAATATGACGCTGCAGGCGGCATCATGCGACAACAACAATGTCTTTACTTTCGGGATTGCTTTCGGGAGAGAGACCGGTTTATATAGCCTTGGAGAGACCCATGCTGGCCGTTGGGTAAGCGATGACCTCTTCATTCATTTCCATTTTATATAATTTCTTGCATTGTTATCTTTTTTGAGCGATAATTAGCTGTTGATATTCTGTCACCAAAGCTGGTCCCGTAGCTCAGTTGGTAGAGCGTTGGACTCCGCGTGGTGATTGCTCGCGTTCCCGGTTATAACTTGGTTATAACTTATAACCAAGTTATAACCAGGGTATGTTATAACAGCCGGGGTTCGAAGCGCGACGGGCGCTTGACATTTATGGGCCTCCTGACAGGTATGCTTGCAGTTGGTTGCAGGCCGCAGCCAGGGGAAGTCAATAAGGGGACTGGTCCCGGCTGTGTGCGGCTATGTGCGCACGTAAAACTTTTTAGCAACCAACTTCAAAATTTGACCTCACTTGACCTGACCTCGACCTGATCTTGGCCTGAAATCCATCCAGATGTGGTCCATATCACTTTTTGAGTGTCCCTATTGAATTATATGAATAAAATTACCGTTAAAACATATGTCGCGCATGCCCTTTTCTATATGTCATTTTTGGTGACCCAGACTGGAAATAATACACGTTATGCCGAATATGTCCGGCATAGTGGCGGGATTGCGTCGAAAATTTTAGCGCACGTCTGGCGTAACTTCGCGTGCGCCGAATTCAGCGCATGGCGGCGGACGAATTTTTTGGTACAGGGCGGTCGCATAATTTTTTGGCGAAAGACGGTCACCGAATTTATGCGGTATGCTGGTCAATCTAGCAGCAGATTCGCCCCGCGGGCGGCTCGAGAGGTTTCGGGACGAGACCGACCTCCCCGCCCCGGTCGTCGCGTGCTCGAACTGGTGAGCCGCTCGAACTCAGCGGAGAAGCAGCTGCCCAGGTGAGGCCTCAACCTTCGGCGTGGAGATAGGTATGGAAGACCTTGTTGAGCATCACCAAGCGTCGTTAGGCAATACTGCAGTGGGTTCCTGCCCACTGCGGTATCGAGGGGAATGAGAGCGCGGACGACTTAGCAAAACAGGCGGCCGCCTTGCCCTCAAACGCCCACTCGCTGACCAGGGCGGTTCACTGTGCGGCCTCGCATCAATGGCGCGACAACTGCTCAGAATCACTATTCAAGCCACTCCTCGGGAGCACGTCGCCGCTCCCTATCCCCGGAGCGGACCGAGAGGATGCCGTTTCGGTGCACCAGATAAGGGCGGGCCACTGGGGGGGGGGGGGGGGGGGGGCCGCTCGCTCCAATACGGCCCCGAATCGGCTGTCTCCACTCCGCGGCGTGGCAGCAGTGCCCAGACAAGCGGTGCCCCGCGGCGCTCTGCGCCGTGTGCCGAGAAGAGGGTGATGTGCCGGAGCACATGCTGCTCCGCTGCCCGGCCCTCGCTGCCACTCCCACCAGCCTCGAACACACTGCTCCGCCGATTAACATCGGCACAAATTTGTGGCCCCGGAACTCACGGCTCCAGCTTTGTTTCACGGCATGAAGCTAGAGTGCGCTAAGACTATTGAGTATTGAGGTATTGGGTTTCCGTGGAACTAAAACTCTTTCGGACGCTCAAACATGGGAGAGCATACAAGGCCCCGGAACACTCTGTCTGGTTCATATAGTTCATATAGATCGGTAGATGTGCACATGTGCTTTATATAAAAAGGGCTTAATTTTAGCACAAATAGGCACCTAATTTTTGGCGCAAATCACACAGAAATTTCAGCGTAAAATCGCTTGCGCCGAATTTCGGCGCAAGAGGGTCTCACGGGCGTCCGACGTAGTGTATGGATGTTTTCCAGTCTGGTTGGTGACCTGACCTGACCTTGATCTTGACATTTGCATGATATTGTATGCAACGAATATTGTCTTGGTAGCCTAAGAAAATGTTTTGGGCAATCAGTCTCAGTCCATTCTTCGGCAACTACGGTGCAAGGCCTGTAGCTGTAGAAACTTGCATTTTGTACCTTTGACCTGACCTCATGACCTGACCTCTGACCTACTTAAGCAAAAAAAAAAAAAATGGGCTCTTAAGATCCGCCTTGTTGAGAGCTTTCGATTGCCGTTTGCCGATCGATTGCCGGTCTTTTTACGATCATCGGTTCGGAAGTGAGACAGGGAGCAGAATCTGCCCCCCCCCCCCCCCCAGCAGGGCGCGTATGGCTGAATAGCCCAGCGGGGCGCGGGCTAACCTACCTTGGGGGACCTGCCGACCACTGCTGTAGATGCAGGAGCATAGGACAAAATTAGTGAGTTTTAGCTGGGAAGACACAATTTAAGATACTTTCAACATATTTCTAGTCCTTTCTCATAGTTGGTTGCTATTGCGTGGTCGGAAAATCGGTGGAGTTTCCAGTCCAGGTCCAGGAACGCTTAATTCATGGCTTAGTGGTTTAACATGGTAATTCATGGCTTCATGGCTTAACCCTCGCCCGTATAGGGGGGGGGGGGGGTCGAACGGACCCCCTCCATGGTTTTTCGCGAATAACTCGCGTAAAAAGCGGCCGATTGCGACGAAACTTTCAGTACCCTCGCGTTAATCAATTTTACACCTACCCTGAAATTTTCGTGACCCTGACCCTAATGACCTTTGACCTGTGACCTAGTTTTCGAGACCATGTTTGGCCGGAATCGCGATTTGGCGTATGTCGGCTCGCATTGGCCGCGCGTTTGCAGTCTTTTCGTGGTTTCAAGCGTTCAAACATGTGATATGATGTTGCCCCCATGCATTAGGGTGGATGTCAAGGTCACCTGAAGGTCAGGTCAGGTCATTGACCTTTCGTGACCTCGGTTCACTTTTTCGAGTTTTACATGTTTCTAGGCCAGTTTTTGGAGCTGAATTCGAATTTAGCAACCATATGAACATTTACGAAGTAGTTTTGGTGCCTTCGTAACATGTTACGAAGCTGTCAGAGGCGGTTGACACCTATTTGGAATACCCGGCAGGACCCCTACTGGTTGACCTGACCTCCTGACCCGACCTGGACTAAATGCATAAAGACATCATCTGTGATCAAAACTAACATGATATTCGTGATCAGCGCCCCGAAAAACCCCATAGCAGCCACACTTTACGACGTTCTAACAGGTCCCGATCTTCCCGACTTTTGGGTCATTGACCTGACCTGCAAGGTCAACCAATGACCTAGGACCTTAAAATTAGGTATCATCGGCTTCCTCTCGTCACGGGCAACACGCTCGTTTTTTCCGCGAAGCTCTAGCTCGATCAGGGGCGAAACGGCAAGGGGGGGGGGTCCAACGGACCCCCCCCCCTTATACGTTCGCGGCTGGAAAAACACCAATACGGGCGAGGGTTAACTTTATAAAAAAAAAGCTGCATAGGCTTGTTGGAACTCGTGCTAGCTAATATAGTGACTTTGACACTGCCAGATCCAGGGAGGGGGGAACTTGCGGTTTCTGGGATGTTAGTAGATGCTTTTTTTTAATTCGGAGAAACTTTTAATTGTATGCCCCCCACCCGCAGCATTCAAAACTGCCTTTCTGGATTTGCCAGTGGGTTCTGATAGTTATTTAGACAAAAGGCATGCACTTAAACATATTTTTGATAAATCTAGTCAGAACCTTTTGGATGGAAAGATTCACAAGGATTACCAGAGCCAATGCTGAGCAGAGTTTGTTGCGCCCTCTACCCTCTTATGCTATTCCTGATCTCTGGCAGAAGTTGCAGTCAGAATTGAAAGTTTAATGTGCACACATATTCGAGGATGGGCTGGCCGGTCCCCTCACTGACCTCACCTGGCTCATGGCTTGCCACTAACCACAACCATACCTATCAGGAGGCTCATGAAGATCAAGTGCCCGTTGTGCTTTGGACCCCGACTATTTTAACCGGGGTGCTTGCTCTCGCCATGCACTTCATTCTTAATCTATATTAAGCTCTTCAAATTGGGATGCAGTTAACAAAGACCAATGTTTTCTTCTGCTTTACCACCATTATTATGTAGGTATTCTTAGTGCTATTGATGTGACTGTGAGGCATTTATTTCTGTTCCCGTTGGTGATCAGGTAACAGGCATGTGATCATATAACTCCTCTGTGTTGCAGTGTCGCAGGCTGAGTGACCAGGCTGCTCTGTGATCTCTGTCGTGTGCTGCGCTGCTGGCCTGGCCGCAATGGGCAGCAGACAGCTGCGGTTTCAGCTGCTGCTTCTGCTGCTGGCTGGATGCAGTCTCCGGGCCGGCGGCCTCTCACAGCAGCCAATCCTACTGGTCCTGTCCCTGGATGGTTTCCGTTATGACTACTTGTCACGTGCCAATCTGACGCACTTTGACCAGCTGCGAGCCCAGTGGACGTTCGTGCCGCACGTGCAGCCGGTGTTCCCGTCCAAAACATACCCGAACCACATTTCCATCGCCACCGGGCTCTACTCGGAGTCGCACGGCGTCATCGGGCCCTTTGTCGAGCCGGAGACGGGCCGCTTGGTGGACCACAACGAGACCGAGTTCTGGAACTACAGCGACGCCGTGCAGCCCATCTGGGTGGGTGCCAACGGGGACGGGGATGGAGTGCGCTCCTAACTCATTTGCCGTTGTATGTATGGACAGAACTGGAGAGCTTAGGGAAATAAAATAAGAGAGGGGTGGCAAGACAATATGCAAGAATTAGACCAGGCCTGATTTACCCCACTAATGTCCCCTTCCAAGAGAGTGTGTGCGTGTTCCTCACTAACAATGTACTAATGAACCCTGAATTAGCGGGCAGTTTATGCTGGATTTGGCATTGACTACTATTGCTTTCTGTATCTACTAACCAAGTTAGGTGACATCATACATAGTCAATTTCGGCTTCTTTTATGTTTTTTCCTCTTCTTAGCAGGGAGTGCCGCGACTTTTTCAACTTCGATATTGATTTTGGTGTTAACGTAAGGGTTCTGTACGTCGCTGGGACTGAGGGTGGAGGCACTCCTGGTTGCCTGATCATGGGTTACGGACTATTAGTTAGAAAAAAAAAATAGCGATCGACAGCAGCTGGGCCGGGTCATGCAATTTGGTCATGCGTTATCGATGCAGTTAGGTCATGTGTTATCGACATCGGCGGATATTTACGAGTATTGATGCCTAGCGACTAGCGTTGTTAATTTCGATTATCGTCGATTTTATCTGGGTAATGTATTGCGTTATCTCTTATTGACGTTTCCAAGTAGATGGCGGACTATTGGTCTGTTGTACCTATAATTTTTATTTGTACCCGTTCCCTACGATAAGACCGTCTGTCCGGTGCCTCGCCAGGCTCTGAACGAGGCTGCATCTCCGGACCGGTTCAGCGGCTGTATGATGTGGCCCGGCTGCTCCTTTCTGAAGCCGCCCACCTACGTACAGACCTACAACAGGTGCGTATCCGGCGCCCCCAGTACTTCGGCAATCTCGCTGCACGGCTCCGTTCGCTCGATTTCCAATGGCATTGCAGTACCTACCGCTCGATAAGCAGTATATTGTGTACCGTAAATACAGCGGTTGCAAGCCGTCAGTCTAAGCAAGGACAGTTCATATATTTGTAGTTTTATCAACGGCTGCCTTCGCCAAAAACCGTGAGCTGGACCTTGCGGGTCAGCCTAACCCTTCAGGCGCTTACTGCCAGCGCCATCTATTTACATAATTTTTTTTTTTGTTGGGTTAGGCCCTTTCGGTCGACAAGACCATTGCAGAGCCGGAAGGATGATAGGAATTAGGGGGAGACATTGGTCTGGGCAGGCACCCTAGTGAGTCGCCGGGGCTGAGCCCGTCCAGAGGACAGGCCACCCAGCCCCAAGGCACTCACTGCACCCGGCTACGGGGTGCGCTCCCTCAGGAGCAGCGGTGCCGCTCCAAGGGAGCGGCCCGCATGAGATAAAGTTGCCTGTCCAGCCCGGAGGGGGGTTGCGGCGTGGAGGAGAAGGATTTCAGTATCCTGAGGATAGAAGCACGGATAGGTGTTTTACATAATTCAAACACCCGGTCGTTCTCGGAAAACTAACAGTCTTAGACACAAGTGAGGCGGTAACCGGACAAAAGATAGTAAAGCAAAAGATCGTATGGCAGAAAATCGTAGGAAGTTGATCGTATGCAAAAGATCTAAATGGATAAAGATCGTACGACATGATACTCGTATGGACAAAAGATCGTATTCGCTAACGAATTAACGATCGTCAAGGAAAATGATCGCATGACAAAAAGTAGTAATAGATAAAGATCGTGCGCCATAATGCTCGTATGGACAAAAGATCGTATTCGCAAAAGATCGTCGAGGTAAATAATCGTACGCCAAATGATCGTATGAGATAAAGATCGTACAGTCAAAATTTGGTATTCACATGGTGCAGCCAAACTCCAGCGCATACAAAGCTGATTAATTTCTGTGTTCGCGCGGGCCTGTGGTGGGCTTCTAGGCCGCTGGTGCACTTGGGCTCTGACGGGACTGTGGTGCCCGTGACAAGCCTGAAGTGCCCCCGACTGGCACGTGGTGCATCTGATAGGCGGTGGATAACATGAGGTCATAAATATTCGTAGTTTCTTTACCTCGGTTTTTTATATTAGGTGACCTGAGCATGGGTGAACTTGTAAATTATTGGGGGTGCTTCAGCACCCGGCCAAATGCTGGATTGAGCACCCACAATAAGACTTGGAGCACCCCAACAGGGGCACCCCACAGGTCACAGCAGCACACGCACGTGACGGTTTTTCGTAGAATATTTTGTGACTAACGGGCTTTATGCTACAATCATTTACCTAAAACACTATTCTATACGATTAGTTACTTTACGAATTTAACGTTACGATCTTTTGTCGTACGATCTTTTACAACATACGATCTTTATCTTACGATCATTTTCCTACGAGCTTTTTCATACGATCCATTGCTTTGCTTTACGATCCTTTACTTACGATCTTTGGTCGTACGATATTTTGCGACATACGATATTTATCTTACGATCATTTTACTACGATATTTTTCATACGATCATTTGTTTTACGATCTTTTGCTTACGATCTTTTGCTTACGATCTTTTGTCGTACGATCTTTTACAACATACGATCTTTATCTTACGATCATTTTCCAAAGACCTTTTTCCATACGATCTTTTGTATTAAGATATTTTGTCACGTAATCAGTGAGGCCGATTAACTTGTAGTGCCGGTTATCTAAGCACGGGTTGGGACAATGTAAAATTTATATTTTATATCGTCCTCGTTCAAAGTCGAACTTTTGCCGCAGTTGACCTAAACGAGTGGCTGCACTTACCAGCACAGACGTGGAAATATACCTACCCGGTGAACAATGAGCGTCTCTGTATGCCTACCATTTATGATCTGCATTGCTATTTCAAGGGAATGCAGTCCTAACGACTTCCACCGGCCTCACTGTATCGGTAATCAGTGCAGCCCCGAATCCGGACCGGTCACCCTCACCCCATATGACCGACCCCGTGTGTGTCCGGCAGCTCGATCGCGTGGGAGGACCAGGTGAGCATGGTGTTTGACTGGCTGCGGGACACCGAGCGGCCGGCCAACCTGGTCTTCTGGTACCTGGACCAGCCCGACTCGGCCGGACACGAGTACGGACCGGACTCGCCGCAGGTCAGTTACCGTTAGAGCAGCTGCATCGGACCCACGTCACTCGTCAGACCACTCCCAGTTCCCGCAGAATACACAGGAGGCCAATCTGGGGGCCCGAGAGCAGTACGTTTAATTGCTTTGTCCTCTCATGGCTCGTTGCACACTTTCTCCCGGCTTATCCCCGGATACCCGACTCAGGCGTCGTCTGGTAGCGTAGTGCTCGCTCCTGCCGTCTTTTATATTCAGACCTGTCTCACTGACCTCGCCGGCCGTCCGGTCTGCGCAGGTTTCAGCCCAGCTGCGGCGCGCCGACCGCCTGCTGGGCTACATCGGCCATACGCTGCGTCTGTTCGAGCTGGAGCAGCGCGTCAACCTGGTGGTGACGTCGGACCACGGCATGGCGCCCGTGCCGGCCGACCACCTCATCAACCTGGACGCGGTGGTCAGTCCTGAGTGGTACACCACGCTCGGGCCGGACCCCGTGCTCCGCGTGCTGCCCGTGACAGGTCAGTGGCGCCGCGGAATGGGCGGACCGCTCGTGTCGGAGCGTGTTGAATACTGCTGTGACTGCCCGGGCTGTGACTGGGTCATCCTCATCCCTTCTGGCTAGTCTGTTTACATTTGTTGGGCCCCTGACTCCTTTGAACTCATGACCATTGTACCTGCCACGGTGACCCGTTTGGCTTGGTGAAATCAATATCTGCTGTGGTGACCTGCCTGACCCCTCTGCGCCCTCTGGCCAGGTAAGAGTCTGGCCGTGTACGGCCTGCTGTTGTGACCCGCCTGACCGGCTGTGTCCGCTGCGCTGACTCCTCTGACCCCACTGTACCCTCCGGCCAGGTAAGAGTCTGGCCGTGTACGGCCTGCTGCGGGACGGCTCGGAGAAGCTCGGTCTCAACTACACCGTCTACCTGAAGGAAAAGATCCCGGAGCGGTGGCACTACGGCAACAACCCGCGCGTCACCGACATCCTGCTGGTGGCTGACCTGGGCTACATGTTCACCACGGCTTCCTTTAACCGCACGCTCGAGTACTACCGACAGATGGGACGCAACGGCACAGGTGGGCGCCGTGGGCGGTCAGGGCGGTTAGCGCCGCTTCAGGAACGCTGGACAAGGCTGTGACGGATCGTCGTGATTCAATATTCTTTGGGACTGCAGGTATGTGTAAACTGGGTCCACAGTCGCTGTACGGGGCCGTCAGAAAACAGTAACTCGCAGCGAAGTCAGTATTCACTGTTCATCGATGTTGTGCACTAACAAAAGGGCACGGAATGTATCTCTGAGTCTGCATGACCTCAGCTGACCGCTCCCCACCGCCGCGGCAGGCCCGTACGGTGACCACGGCTACGACCCGGCCTCGCCGCTGATGGACCACCCACTGCTGGCGCGCGGGCCCGCCTTCCGGCGGCAGTTTGTGCACACCACCCGAATGGAGAACGTGGACGTGGCCTGGCTGGCGGCGCTGGTGCTGCGCCTGCCGCTGGCCGACGACGCCCTGAACGGCAGCCGACTGCGCGTGCAGCCGCTGCTGGCGCCCGACAGCGCCGCCTTCTGGGCGGGCGGCGCCGGCGCCGGCTTCTGGACCGCAGGTGGGGCGCAGTGGAATGGGAGGGGGGGGGGGGGGGAGTTGAATGGATCTTGGGCGTCGTACATATCAGATAACACTAAGTAGGAATAATAATGAGAAATTGGCTGTGCATATATGGTTTGAAACTTGAATTTGCTTTATTTTCGCCGTGCAAATGCAATGTTCCTAGTCTACGCTAAGAAATAATCCTTACACGTTACGATTTGCTATGTTCCAGTGGTGCTGTCTGTGGTATTCGGGTCCTGTGTAGTGGCGCTCGTGATCGCCGTTATCAAACGCAGTGTGAGAAGGCAGTCCGTCAACTCCTCCCTCATCAACGGATACATGTTCAGGTGAGGGCAGGCGGACGTCGCGCTGGGAAAGTGCAGAATGTGAGCCCAGAGGTATGACAGCAGGACAGCTGTTGTTGCGTTTACGCTTGAATTCGGCCTCTGCTTATTTCGCGAATTATTTGACACCTAAAACAATAAATGCATGGATGGTTTTTACATTCCCATTAGTATGTAGGTGAGCCGTGAGATACTAGCTGCAATTCACTGAACGCTCCCAAGCTATCCGCGGGATCTCTGTATCTATGTGCCGTATTCTATATATGAGGGATGTGTAGTATACCGTACATGCTCGGCGCTGACCCCAGTGACCCCCCGTCCGTAGGTACTCGCCCGTTCACCGTGTACACAGTCGTACTGACCGGGTGAGCGCTGCTGTGGGCCACGGTGGCATCGACGGCGAGGAGGCTGAGCACCTGCTCTCGGAGAGTACACCGCCGCCGACCGGCGTCTGAGAGACCGCTGACTGCAGTCTGATGGACCGCCGGCCGGCTTATGGAGGACCGCCACCGGCCGGCTTATGGAGGACCCCGACCGCCGACCGTCGGCTGAAGACCGTTGGCCTACCACTTCCATGATGGTTGTGTAGGAAGCCCGACGGTATACGTCGGTGTTCAGCTGGGGTCTCGTACAGCCAGAAAGTTGGAGAATTTCGTTCTTCGAGCTCCGAAGTAAGGTCTTAATCCCTTTATTTATATTCGGTGTACCAGCCATTGCCTACTGCGGAAGGCGTGCCTTCTACCCCCTAGTCAACTTCTCAGTGAAAGCAGAATTTATTCGAGCATCAAGTATTCAACGTTCCATAGCTGAAGATCTCAGTCTGAGCGTGGTAGTTCTTAGGTAATTGCATTTATGAATTTATCCAGCTGGGTGCCGCATTAGTTATTTAAACGGTTTGTATCTATCCTAACTGTTTTACAACGGGAAATGACTTCCTATAAATTAAGTAGATTTAGGCATGTTTTCAACATTTCACACAACTTCATCCTGCTTGGGCGACGTCACAGATTACATTCAAATCAACAAATGCCGTGTAAAAAATTCGTTATGCGCTCTCTAGAATGTTGTGCTCCCTACTTAGTACTTATCCGAGTGTATCAGTTCTACGCACCGGACGATTTGCTGTTAGCTGCTACGCCTGTCTTTCTCCCATGTTCACCTTGTTGAGATTCTCCTGCACCTCTGACGTAAAGTGGATGCTGTCCCCGTTTTCCGTCTTTTCCTGGTAGCTGCTCCGGCCGTGCGACATGCGTCGGTTTTCAACATTCCCTGACGGAGCAACCAAGGTCCACGCCGACCTCTGGACGCTCCTGTGTTTGCGATTTGTCGTTTGAGTATGCTGCTGGCGGGGCGAATCCCTGCGAGACTGGGCGTCGGTGGCGTGCACGCTGTGATCCCTGCGTTAATGGCATCCTGTGTGCTCCCGTGTGACCGGTGCTGTGGTTTGCTGTGCTGTGCTGATGGTGGGGGACAGCCGGAGAGCGTTTCGGTGCTCGCCGCTCAGGTTTGCTCAATGTTTGTTACGGGGTTTGCTGGTCGTTGAGAGTGCTCTGTTTGGGAATAGGATAGGGAACACTAGACCATTGCGGCATTCCATACAGTTATCTATGAAAACTGTGCAGTGTGCATCATTGTGAGTTTCTATATTAGGGTGTTCTTTACATCCCCTGCTGCTCTGTGGTGAACTTCGCTTTTCTGTTCTCAAAAGTAATTTACGATTATGCAGAACGTGATAAATTCGGACTTTGCCTGATGATTTGGCTAGGCACATCAAAGCTCGGCCTATGGCACTGATATCGGTGGCTCTCATTTGCCTGTGTCTTGTTTGCGTCAATTCTGAATCGACAGCCATCAGAATCGTGTGCCGTTTCCACCATTTCTAGTCATCCACGATCGTTTGCCGGCATACGTTTATAATATCTCTGCGTCGTTGCTTTTTACGTAGCAGTGCTGTCGTTTGTTGTGTGTGTGGGTGTGCTAAATATGATCTACATGCTTCTAACTCCATTGTTTGCCTGGTAGAGAAGGCGCTCGCAGTCGGCAAGCATGGCATATGCTGAGTAATATGCATAGGCATTGAAGTGCATATCCGGTAGGTTTGTAAAGTGCTTGCAACATGAACATTTGAACAATGTTGCGGAAATGTGGATGCTTCTGCTACTTTGGACAACCTTTCCACTTTCTCGTAATTGCTGAAAACGTTTTGTGGGAAATTCTTCCCCTAGTTCTATTATTTTTTCTTTTCTAGTTTTGCTATTATTTTTTTATCACCGCTGGCATTTGAGCAGGCTCTGAATGACGAGAAATCGGGAAAAGCTTGGGGCGCCAGTTTTTAAGCTCAGATTTTTGCAGCGTTTTAGGGTCAATTTACTTCTGCAATATGCCAACCTTGATAATATTGAATCAACACACCAACACACTGCGTCGTCAATTGCTAATGCTAATAGATAGAGTGCTGCTAAAGTCAAAGTGGTTTGTTATTTTCATCCGTATGCTGAACATTTTGTCAGGTAATAGTTATTGAGAATCCTGACTATTTAGTAGCCAACGAGGTGCATCTAATTATATCTGCTCAGCACTCAGCAGGGCCAGCAAGTCGTGACTGGGCTGGCTCAGGCTGGGACAAGGGCTGGGAGGAGGAACGGCTGAAGCTGAAGAGTAAGTTTAAGTCCAAGTGTTTCAGCTTTCAATTTCAATTTGGCTAGCATTTGCCCCTCAATGGTGTGTTGGCCAAATTTATATTGTTTGATGCAGATTGATTGGTTGGTCGATTGATTTGTGCCTACACGAGCATTTATTTTCACAGCACAAGCAATAGTAGTTTGTATGGTTTGGGTAGATGCCTATTTCTCCTTTTCTCGACAATAGACATGGTGAACCCCAAAAATGAAAAAGTGTTTGGTGTGTCATTTGATATTGGTGTAAGGTAGGGAATGATAATTATAATTCTTTTACACATTTTGCAACACAGTGTAGGCATTGTTTCTTTAGATATATAGCTGATAGAGGATTATTCATGGATTGAAGAGGAGGGTAATAGTATCTTTAGTCTTGAAGCAACTAACTCAATGAAGGACTTAATCAACAAGCAGGGTTATTAAGGACTGAAGAAGTAGATGTTGATTGAAGTCTGTGCCGATATTCTTTTAAGATAAACTATTATTTCAAGCCAGCTCAACTTAACTTTGATTAGTCTTGTCTAACTGGTTGCTGTTTGATGTCTTGTCTTGATTTACATTTATTATTTATTATGTATTTGCCTTCTTGATCCGCTTGAGCCAAGCTGCTGCGCGCCCTAACTCTTCAACAACAACAACAGCCTTCTTGATCTAAGCACTGGCCACCCAGGGATCAAGTTTTTTTTTTTGGAAAATGGGTTTAGTAAGTTATTTCTGTGCTATTTCTGGTGTAATGAATTTAATGAGCCCTAAAACTAAGTGTGATTAAGTCTTACCAAAAGGATAGAAAATGGGTACCTACACCAAGCTTACACTAAGCTTCAAAGTTTGTTGGTACCTATGCACTCCTAACAAAATAATAAGTTCTGAATCATTGATTAAGACTTATCTTTGTAAAGAACTCCAGCTTGTTATTTTGACTGTCATATATGCACAAGATGAATAGACAGCCACAGCAGTGGTGCAAGGAAATAAGTGTGGCCATATTTCAGGCCAAGGAGGGATGATAACTGAGCTACAGTTGTAGGAAGCAAACTTATGGCTGTCATCAAATTGAAACAGTTATGCACAATTACTTGTCTGACTGGTGACCTGGACTGGAAGCGCCAAGCAGATCCCAGTTTTACTTGTCAAGGAACCTGTCTTTTTCAATGTCAATGAGAATATGCTATACTCTAGTGAGTGACACATAAGTGATGGTTTTACTGGCCAGATATAGTCATTGATTGAGGTAGGTAGCTGGTAAACAATGTCCAATGTTGTTGACTCATTAAAGGTTCAACTCATTAATCAAATATCTCAGGATCTACTGATGAGGAGCTAGAGGTCAGAGATATTTGGATCCTAGGATCCCCTGATGAAGAGTTGGAGGGTGTGACTTTCAACTCCAAATGACATAGTGTGTACTACTGATGTCAGGCTCATCAGTAAGCCCCAAGATTGGTTTCATTCTCAAAAGAAGTCAGTCCAATCCCATTATACAGTCAAATGCCAAATACATTTATCCCTCTTGTCATACATTGAAATAGAGCACTCCTGGCTTTTGGCTCCCACAGCCACTGCTCATATTGGCTGGTGTTTGATTGCTCTACCCATCAGCTCACAGCTGAACCTGTGATGGCCTGTTAGTGGAGGGGAGCTGAGAGATGGCTGAGCTGATCTAAAAGGCAAGGGAGCTGAGCTGACTAAACTGAGCATTGGGTGGTTCCCTGACTTTGGGTAAGGTTGAGTGACATAAATATGAATATTAATCGAAAGTGGTCATCAGGCTGTAAATGGACCCCAACAGGTCACAACTGACCATCATAAGATCACAGCAGGCTCAGGGGACGATAACTGGACACTGAGTATTGGAGGTCATGGACGGTTTCTCAAAAGAACAAATGGTCACTGAGTTCTACGATGTCGCAAATAATCATTCAGAGGTCACGACTGGCCCACACGAGGTCACATCTGCACATAATGCCCTCACAACTGCACTCTATGAGGTGTATGGCCTAGAAGTCCATTTTGCTTTTGGGAGGGGATGGGGGGGGGGGGGTATGACTGACTGCCAGAAAGACGGCTAACCACAGAGGAGTCGCGACACCGCATAGACCTTGACTGTCCACAGAAAGCCCACAACTCCGGATGATCGAAGCTCGAAACTTGCCGCCAAAGTGTGGTAACTGTGGGCGATATTATTCACAATAGTATTGACTACCTATATGAGTCATTCAGGTATAATCGGTGATTGTGTTGTATTTTATCTTTGTTGCGAGGGAGTTCTCGCTAGCATGGACCGTAATGGTGGACAGTTTGCCGCATTTATTGCCAGGATCGTTACCAGAGCACGTCTCTCCGAGAACTCGATTTCCATTCACCGTTTAGCTAAGAGATGAGTTACTCGATGATATAATAATGTGCCAGGTATTAGCTCGTGCCTTGTCGTAAATCCCAATTTGCCGGTCGTCATTCACGGGCTCGCCGCGGGCGCGGTCACGGCCGCCGTTTAGGGACAGGTGGGCCGTGGGACGGTGTTTGCTGTTGTTGCGAGCCGGCGTATCGGCGCGCCACTCGGCTGTCACAGCTGCGCCGGGCGGGTGCGCGGGACACGTGCCACGCGGGGCACTCACAGCTGCCACCGGCCAGCCGGGGGCGCACCCATGCCGCCATGCGTCTGTTGTACTCGCACTGTCTGTGCTCTCCCCCTAGTTGCTCTTTCTTTTACATTTTGCTTGTCTGTATATTGCCCTGTAGAAGCGTCTTTTCTCGTTCCCACACTTACGCATCTTTCTACGGCATGCTGTGGTTTATGACAGCGTCGAAATCATTCCGATGTGTTCTGTGACTACCGTAAACAAACGGACGTACTATCGTCTCCCCACCCCACACCCGTGCGGACATGTGAGGGAGGGGGTGGGGGGAGGGTACCATGACCGTCCGCTGGGTGGAGACCGTCATCCGCTGCCTCACGCCGCTGCCTCACGTGCTCACCAGCCAGCTGACTGCCGCACGTGGTAGCGTTGGGGAGGGACGTCTGGTTTATGTCATCGTGCCCCGCCGCCGCCGCCGGACGGAGAGGGGGGGGGGGGCTGACCGACATTTGACCGTCAATTGGCGGCGGCGTCTCGGCTGTAGTGGCTCTCGCCCTCGGCTGACGCTCCGTCCGGTCGGCTCTCTGTGACCGCCGTTAACTGGTCGACAGACTCTGTGCTGTGCCAGCGCGTGGACACGTGCGTGTGAACTGTGAGTGCGTGTGTGAGAGAGACACGGCAGTCGAGTGCTGGGCGCCTGGCGGGTGTGTGACATAGGTCCGTGTCGTGAATCGTAACGTCCGTCGGCTCCAGGTGTGTTTGCGGTGTTCAACGGAAGCAAAGCAATAATGCGCTTATTTTTATCGCGTCGGAACTTTACGTCCAATGCCATCTTGAGTGTTGATCGCTCGTGGCGTTATTGTTCTCGGGCGCTCGGCTTGCTAGGAATCGTTCACCCTTTGCTACTGACAAGCCGAACTAGTGCCGAATCATTTATGAGATTGTGATTAATTGATGTTGTACCCTCGTTGCGACACTTATCATGTAACCCTGGGTATAACCCAGTCCATATTTTATTGGCCTTGTCTTTTTAGTGACCGTTTTCAATGATTTACTGAATTTTACTAACTATTGATCCACCACCACGTCGGTGTCAGATTTCTTCACGCCATACGGCGGCGTAGAAAGTCTCCGGGTGTGACGTGGTGGACATCTTCCACAGTGCGTTGTTACAATGTTTGCACAACGCGCCATTTACGCGCGATAAAACCGTGAGTGGTTGGCGCCTTTTCACGGCGGTCCGCTCACACACGGCGCGATGCGGTGATACGCCTTGGCGCGGTCGAACAGCGACAGACACCGCCATCGGTACCTATACGAGGACGCCGGTCTCGTGCTTATTTGTCTCGCCATGCGGCTGTCACTTTGCGGGGGCGGCTATCAATGCAACAGGATGTTTGTGCACGGCCGGGAGCGTTGCAGAGTGCACTGCGATGCCCCGTCCCATTACTGCGTACTAGTACGAACCAGTGTAATCCGTTCTGTTTTTTTTTTTTAATGTATTGCTCTGTCCGCAGCTGAGGGTGCTGAAGCCGAACTGAGACTGTGAATTTGTCGTCGGAAACTGGCGCTGGCGCGGCGGCGGGCCGGGCGGCGGCAGCAGCGGCAGCTCCACCATGGCCTCGCTGACTCTGGAGGAGCACGAGCTGCGCGCCGACTCCAAGTACCGCCAGTACACGGCCACCGTGGACAAGGCGCTCAAGAGCTTCGAGTACACCAGCGAGTGGGCCGACCTCATCTCGGCGCTCGGCAAACTCAACAAGGTGGGTACCGCTACCGGGGGACCAGATCGGTCTTATTGTGGTCGGCATTATCGGAGCGAATTTGAGGTATGTGTGCGTATGTGTAGTGGAATGGGAATACCGCCTTTAGATACCTACAAGTGTGGGTTTATTAGCGTTTCTTAATTCATTTAATTTTAATGCGTCCCTTGCGATGCCGTAGCGTTTGGTTCAGAGTATGTAGTATCGCACCCTGAAGCGGCGCCCCTCCATCCACTGGAGCTGTGCCCTAAATGTCGCCCCTGTGCGCGTGTGTGACAGGTGCTGGTGTCTAATATCAAGTACCCGGTGATCCCGAGTCGGATCGTCATCAGTAAGCGGCTGGCGCAGTGCATGCACCCGGCACTGCCCAGCGGAGTGCACCTCAAGGCGCTGGAGTGCTACGACATCATGTTCAAGTGCATGGGCACCAACCGGCTCAGCCAGGAGCTGTTCATCTACAGCGCAGGTGAGCTCGACAGGGGAAATGGGCTCAGCGTGTAGAGATAATTCTGTATAGAGGGACTTGAAGCTCTGTTCGTCGTGTGCTGCCTGCCGTGCCAGTACTTTTCACGTTGTCCGGTTTGTTATTCCACGCCTGTTCAACGTACCATTCCGACCCATTTCAGGTCTGTTCCCATTGTTCGGTCACGCGGCGATGAACGTTCGGCCGGCGCTGCTGACCATCTACGAGACCCACTTTGTGCCGCTGGGCCGGCGGCTGCGGCCCGGGCTGCGCGGCTTCCTCAGCGGCATACTGCCCGGCCTCGACGAGGGATCCGACTACTTCGACAGGTCGGCGGGACTCTGTCTTATCTTATCGAAACTTTGACTGCAGCTTGCAAATATTTGCTGAAGTGAACTGCACTATGTTGGCTGCGTTGGCTCGCAAACATTGCTAAACTCAAGGTTTATGATTCGCGATAATTTTTGTTTTTAGATGCGCTCGTTTCTTAACATCAAATGATTGGCCATCAGTCATCGTCCGCGATCATTTTGAACGCATGCCTGATTTCACCTCTCTGGCTCTGCAGGACGGCGACACTGATCCAGCGGATAGCTGAGGGCGTGGAAACGGACTACTTCTTCGGCTGCCTGTGGGACTGCGTGCTCTGTAACCCGGCCATCCGGCTGCCGGCCATCACCTTCACGCTGATGAAGTTCAACAAGAAAGTCAGCATGGAGGATCAGCTGTTCATCATGGGCACCGACCTGGACGTCACGGTCAGTCACTCACCGTCACGTCACGGTGAAAACAGGCGTTATGTCGCAGGAAAGGCGTGGGTCTCGTTCGGACTTTCGGTCCAGCCCTGTCAAAGCCGGGCAAATTTGGTCCGATCCAATGATACTGTGGAGTTACACCCACCGAACCAGTATCTTGTAGCTTATTCGAGTTACTATTGGTTGACCTCGCCCAATATCATGTAACCATATCATATGCGGCATATAATGTAAGCCTACTATCAGACCATATGTGATATCATGTCAAAATGCTGTCGTTATGTCTGGCTAATGTATGATGCCGTTTTTATGGGCTATTGGTTTTATCGATTACAGCATGTGTACTGCTGGAAAAGATTGAAAAGATCTGCAACCACTCAGTCGCTGTCTCTCAGTCCGGCCCTAGTTACCGACATCTGTTTGACCACACCGAGCTATCACGGGCCCGGCTCACGCCCCACCTTCTATGTGCTACCGCAGGTGGGCGCGCTGTGTGCCGCCGTTCAGGACTCGAGCGTGCTGGTGCAGCGGTTCACCCTCGATCTGCTACTGGCCGCCTTTCCCATGCACAACAGCCAGTTGATGCGCTCGGACCTGGTGCGTCTGGTGACGGCGGCTGTGACTGTGCTGCTGCGACGGGACATGTCCCTCAATAGGTGAGTGGGACTGAGGCTGTGACTGTGCTGCTGCGGCGGGACATGTCCCTCAATAGGTGAGTGGGACTGAGCAGGTGAGTTAGGAACTGAGGCCGTGATCGTTCTTCTGCGACTAGATATGTCCCTCAATAGGTGGGGCAGTCACTAGACGTGACTTCAGAAGGGAAAGTGCGACATGGCGTGTGGCGCAGCGGGGCGATGTATTTCGTTATCAGTCGAAGAGCATAATAAATTTCATCCAGATTTGGCAACTGTTGCTTTGTAATTGCAGGCTCGACTTCATTCTAAAATATTCTCTCAGTTTCGCTCTCCTTGCTGCTCGGGTTTCAGTTCTTACTCGGAGAGCCTACTCCGGTTGGTCCCCCTCTTCTCTTTATCCTTTCTCTGCCCTCGCCCCAGTGTTAACCATTTCGCCCCCTCGTCGTCAGGCGTCTGTACTCGTGGCTGCTGGGCTCGGAGGTGGATGTCAGCGTACTGCCCTCGGAGAACCCCGTGGTGAAACGTACGGAGAGCGTCACATCAAACACCTCCTGCGACCAGAGCACCGCCTACTTCGACGCCTACTCGCGGCCGCTGACCATCGACGCCATCACGGTAAATACACCCAAGGGACAGTGTGCTGGCTAGGCCTAGATAGCTATATAGCTGCCTGGTTTGCATGGCATACGTGTTGTTTCGCGATTAATGCCTTATCAGATATCATTCTTATAAGTATGGGATCCCAAACTTCCTTACTCAAGAAGTTCTAGTCTGACCGTCGTGTGTTGCCTCTAACGCCCTTTGGCTACTGTATGACTTTCGGGACTGCCGTAGATACGGTCAATGACCTAGACCTTTGTGTGGTATAGTTGATACCGTGTGACTGCTGTGTGACCATAATATGACGACGGTATGGCCCGGTCGGCGCCCCCAGAACTGCCTGAGCGCCAGCTCCGTGTCGACCAGCCCGGACGTCCGGCCCTACCGGCTCATCATCTCGCTGCTGGACAAACCCGAGATCGGCCCGCCCATCCTCGACTACATCATGATCGAGGTGCTCAGGTGAGTGTCGCTCCGACCGGCGCGCGCTCAGAGAGACGCACATTGAGATTGAAACGCGCCTCATCGCCCGTTCAACGACATAACACTGCGACTTATTCTACTACTTTTGAGACTCACAACTGAAAAAGGAACGATTGGCATAGCAGGTTTTTACCAAACGTGTTTCGATTTCCCGGTTAGTGGCATGCCAGCTGAGTAAGTAGCCGTTTCCGTGACCTTACTATGTACTCAGTTCTCTGCGCGCCGCGCCCCTGGTTGGCTGCGGCGCCGGGAGCTCCGCTCCCTCCCTCCCTTGCCGCTCTGGGCCTCGTCCTGCCTCCACGAGCGAGTGTTTTGAGTGAGTGATTGATTGATTGAGTGGTGATTAATTGCATGAGTGGTTTCCTGACTGCGACTACGAGTGGCTCCCGTCACTTTTGTGCCGAGTCGTCGTCGTCATGCACCGTGACCTCGCCCGTCACTTGGTGTTCCTGGCGTTGACTTGCCTGCTGGTGTCGGCTGCCGGGTCTGCTTCGCTCGGTCGCCGCTGGGCGGCTCCGCCGCCACCACTGCTCCACCGTCACGACGTCGCTGATCGATGGGCCTGTCGCTGTGCTGCGCAACGTCCGCCCCCGCCACCGCCCCCGCCGCCGCAGACTGGCTATGGCGGCCGCGGCCTTGACCGGCACCCGGGCGGTCACGTGACCCGGCGCGGCAGGCGCGGCGCCAGCGCCAGGCGCCGGGGGTGCAGAGGGGGCGGCGCGTGGCGGCGCTCAGGCCCCGGTGGTCGCCAGCGGAGCCTACTTATGGGACTCATCAACATACAGTCCCTACTTCCCAAGACCGTATCGCTGCAGCACGACCACCTCAACAGGCTCGATTACGACGTTTGCGCCATTACGGAGACATGGCTTCGGCCCGCCACTGCGTCCCGGCTAGTCACCTTCCCCGGGTACGCGCTGTACCGTGCCGACCGGCCCGGCGGCGCGGGTCATGGCGGGGTGGCCTTACTGATACGCGACCATATCACGGCGTCTGTCATCTCTCAGCCGGCCTCAGATTGTGACGACTGTCGACTGGAATCGCTGTGGGTGCGCGTGAAGCCCGACTCCGGCCGGCACTTCTGTGTTGGCGTTGTGTACCGGCCTCCGAGGCGTTCGGTGTCTGCAGTGAACGCGGATATCCAGGAGCTCGAGATGCAGTTCCAGCGGGTTTTGCTGCGACACTCCGGACCTGTATTTATAATGGGGGACTTAAACTGTAATTTACTTGACACAACGAGCAATGCCGGAAAAGACCGTCTTTTAGAAATGTTTCAGTCGTTCTCTTTATCGCAGTTTGTGACGCAACCTACTTTTTCCTCAGGCTCGCTTTTAGATGTGGTGATTTGTAACTCTAGTGACGTCGTAAAACGTGTTCACGCTTTTAAGTGTACTTTTAGCCCTCATTACTTTGTCCGGATACTTTTACATTTACCGAAACCCCGTAAACGGCCAATACGCATTCAAACGCGTGTTCTGAAACGCATCAATGGTCGAAGTTTTCATCATGCTTTGCGCCTTGTTGACTGGTCGGGTGTTTTTAGCTGTGCATCTGTTTCTGACAAGTGGTTTTACGTAACTCAGCGTCTTTTACCGGTACTCGATAGGTTTGCCCCGTTGAAAACGGTATCGATCATGAACCCGCGCGCGCCACCTGTCACCCCGGCGACCCTTGACCTGATGGCCCAGCGGAGGGGCGTGCTGCGCCGTGAGGGGAGGTCATCGGCTTTCCGAGAGCTTGACCGGCGCGTCAGGTCGGCGATCAGACGTGACAGCCGAACGGACATCGAGGAGAGACTGCGAGAGCAGGGGAGCAGCGCTCTGTACCGTACCGTCCGCCCGCTGATCGCCAGTAAACGGAGCAGCACTGCCGCTCTGCCGACTGCTACACCAGATGAACTGAACTCGCATTTTGTGAATGTGGGGCCCCGTGTTGCTGCCGATCTTTCTAGCCGCGGGGTGCCTCCCGATGTACCTTGTCGCCTACCGCGAGTTGGTGCCTGCGGCTTTCGTGTCGCTGCTGTCACGCTGGCCGAGCTGCGGGAGGTAGTGTTCTCCATGAAGCGTTCTGGTGCGTGCGGGCCTGATGGTATATGTATTCGCATCCTTCTCCTTTGTTTTGATGCCATAGGTCCCATCCTACTCCATATTGTCAATACCTGCCTTACCTCCTGTGACTTTCCCGATTCCTGGAAGCACTCCCTGGTTCATCCTATCTACAAATCCGGTGATCCTACCCTTGTCTCAAACTACCGTCCTATATCCATTGTTCCCATCATGGCAAAAACAGTTGAACGGCTGGTACAGCGGCAGCTGTTTGCCTTCATGTCCGATAACCATCTCCTCTCCCCGTCCCAGCATGGTTTCCGCCGCCACCATTCCACTGAAACCGCACTCCTTTCCGTCACGAACCGTATCTTTTCGAACATGGACCACGGTCATGTCTCACTGTTGTGCCTCCTCGACCTCAGTAAATGTTTCGATGTTATCCCTCACGACCAACTCCTAACCAAACTTCAGCTTTATGGTATCGATCCTTCATGGTTTTCATCTTATCTCAGTGGTCATACTCAGTCTGTCTGCATCTCTTCCTCTACCGGTGACAGAGTAGTTTCCAAGCCTCTTCCCAACACCATGGGAGTCTTCCAGGGATCCGCCCTTGGTCCTTTGTTGTTCACAATCTTCTCCAATGATCTCAGCTTGCACGCGCCGGACGCTCATGTGACCCAGTACGCTGACGACACCCAAATCCTCCTATCCGATGTCAAACGCAACCTTCCTGATCTCATCCTGCGCATGGAGTCCACCCTGTCTTCTTTAGCATCGTGGTTCCATGCCCACGGCCTTAAGCTCAACGAATCCAAAACGGAAATCCTTCTCCTTGGCACCCGCCAGAACACCCGTAACCTACCACCTGTCAGCGTACGGGTCGGTGGCGAGACCATTCAAGAGAGCCCTAGCGTTAAAAACCTCGGTGTGACGTTTGACCGTCACCTCAGCTGGGACGTTCACGTCAGTGACGTGGTTCAAAAGTGCGTCGGCCTCCTGATAGGTCTCCGCCACCTGAGACACTTCCTCCCGCGGCATGTGATGTTAACCATTGTGCAGGGGCTGGTCATCTCGCGCGTGAGATATTGTATCTCGGTGTATGGCAACGGCTCGTCTAAAAACGATACTAGACTGCTTAAAGTAGTCAATTTTGCCGCGAGAGTGGTAACGGGGCTAAAGAAGTTCGACCATGTGTCTCGCGCGCGGGATGACCTGCACTTGCACACGCCTCGGCAAATGTGTGATATGCAGACAGCGATTGCTGCTCACAAAGCCATTTTATATCAAGAACCCGCCGAGCTTGCCATGCTTTTACATACCCATGCTGACACTAGGAATGATGAGCGTTCGACTAGACAGGACAACTGTTTGCGCCTCTCAGCCGTGCGCACAGCGACGGGGCAGCGCTGTTTTCAGTACCGCGCTGCTAGTCTCCTCAACTCCATGCCGGGAGACGCGAGAAATCTAGACCCCGCGGCATTTAAACGAGCTGTGAAACGTATTTTTACTCGGCGATGACTTGTATGCGTGACTGTGTGTACTGTGTGTGCGTGTGTGTCATTGTGTGTGTGTTTATGCGACATCATTGCCTTGCTCTTTTATTCATCTCTGACTAAGGACACGTAAAAGCTACGCGTTGCTGTAGAGTGTCTGCTATTGTCAAATACAAATACAAATACAAATCTGGCGGTTGAGTCACCAGCCGGTGAATGGTGGTTTGTTCCCTTACGATCTACCTAGTCACTCTATCGTCTCGACCAGCACCAGACTCAATATCCAGTGCCGCGGGCAGGGTGACGTGGTGCTACGCCAGTCTCGTGACCAAACCATGCTAAAACCGCACTGGGGGATGATACAGCGAAGTCACTTAACCTTTCTCTCACATCATACCACTAAGCCACAGCATCGTGTGTTCATCGTACCGACTCCCCCTGTTTGAAAACTGGTCCGGCCACTGCCGAGTCACCTCGTATTCCGTTTACACGTATAGTGGCCTTCACGTATAGTGGCCACGGCTCGTGACATTTCCGCCGACCTCGTTCCAGGCGACCTTGCTCGTCCTGTTGGCTGAGTGAACCGATTTATTGGGCCGCGAGTAGCACTAGGCGGCATAAGACGCACTGAGAGAGCTAGGTGATAGGCTTACAGGGCTGAATCGTGCCACAGGTGATGCTTCATTCAGAGTTGAACTCTGCTGTTTGTGGTCGGGAAAAGGCGAGTTTTCTTATCAGGGGGATTAGCCGTCTTTTGACGTGTTACGCGAGCTCACTCAAGTACACAGGCATGTGGCGTTCCGTCGTGAATCTGAGCGGTTTAGCACTGCTGTGACAGTGCCTGTATCTGTGCGAGCGGCTAAAGGCTGCCAGCTGTAAAGGTGTGGGCTGGAGCGGCACCCAAAGAGAGCCGGTGACCAGACGACCACTAGGGAGCTGGGGACTGCCGGGGAAGGCCCCGGCTCCGCCACTGCCCGGGCCGGACTTTCAGAGACCGTGGAGGACCATCGAGTCGTGGCTGTGTAACATCGCGGTAATCCAGAATGGTCAGCTCTCCGTGCCGCGGTCAGCCCAGTCACGTTCGGGTTTAGGTGTGTCTGAGTCATTTGGAATACCGGTGGAGGAGAAACGCCCCAAATGGTGCAGGTCATCATGATATGAGATTTGTTGGAGCAATATTGGATTGATTTGAATGCACTGTTGCATTCATTTGCGAAATCAGCTGTAAACAATTACAATGTGTAAGACTAAGGACCGTGTCACACTGGGCGGTAGGCTACCGTGCGACATGCTGCGACCACTCTTTCCAAACAGATAGAAGCCTCGAACAAAAAGTTAAAAGAATCGCTACATGAAGTTCCACACACTAAAAAAATTAACCATTGAAACGTGCGGAATTGTGTTTGCTGTTAGCTCAGCGTATCAAGTCATGCGATAG